TTGATGATATTACCATATATTTCCATGCCAGCAATGCAACGATGATGATAACAACAGATATGGTAACCCTTCTACCTCACCATTGTTCATTATTTTAATAAAATACATGGGGCTGATGATATTACCATATATTTCCATGCCAGCAATGCAACGATGATGATAACAACAGATATGGTAACCCTTTTACCTCACCATTGTTCATTATTTTAATAATATAATATAATTATAACTTTATACTGATGAATAAGGTGACCAAGTTTGATGAAGTTTGGAATAGAATTAGTAAAGTTATTATGCACACAATAATAATTATTAACGACGACGACGACGACAACAACAACAACGTTAACGCCGGACAAAATGTTTCCCTTAATATACCTTTCCCTTCCATCTTTGATGGTACGAGCAAGGTAAAAATACATGGGGCCGATGATATTACCATATATTTCCATGCCAGCGATGCAACGATGATGATAACAACAGATATGGTAACCCTTTTACCTCACCATTGACATTTCATTATGAAAGAAAAACAAAATCTCGTTGTAAGCAACCACAGTGACAGTGTAATCAGAATCACAATGGATTATTCAATTCCTAATTACCTTCATATTTGCAATGTCTTTGTCTATACAGCCAGCATTAGATACAATATAAAGATAATCTTCTGTTGTTTTACTAACTATTAAATCATCTTGTATTCCACCTTTGTGATTTGTAAACAGTGATAATGTACCAGTGTTATCAGGGAGCCCTGCTACATCACCTGTAAGTATAAATGACTCAATTGAAAACAGTGATAATGTACCAGTGTTATCAGGGAGCCCTGCTACATCACCTGTAAGTATAAATGACTCAATTGAAAACAGTGATAATGTACCAGTGTTATCAGGTAGCCCTGCTACATCACCTGTAAGTATAAATGACTAAATTGAAAACAGTGATAATGTACCAGTGTTATCAGGTAGCCCTGCTACATCACCTGTAAGTATAAATGACTAAATTGAAAACAGTGATAAATTTAATGTTCCAGAGTTAGCAGGAAGTCGTACTTGCAACCACAATCCCTCTATCCCCAGTCTGGAAACGGTCATTGTATTAGGTGTGAATTTGTCTCCTTCCCTGGCAAAGGCATGTTGCGGGTATGGGCAAAGCATTGTCACGTGATCAGTACGCAGCCGGCCACTATTTTTGACATTGTCATTGCTATGTGTTTTTTACAACTTAGTTGTTTATTCCAGAATTCGTGCTTTTTCACATAATTTTTTAATCAAGATATCTGTATAAGGTCATATTTTAGCCGGCAAGTCGTTCTTTAATTCATCTATTTTACCAGCAGCGACACATTTTCGCAACAAATTTTCATACCTTTACCCAGAAATGTTTCTTGTTTGATTTAGGGGTGATTGAAATGAACTTGAAACAAATATTTGTCTTCGATTTTGACATTTTATGATCGAAACATATCATTAAAAATTGGTGGGCTGATTTGTTATTTGTCACACCGCATTTTATTAATGTTAAATTGGACGATTTTTATGGATGCTTTTTCGATCGTAAATGCATGACAATGTACGCTATTCAGTGCAAAAAACAATCCTTTATATACAAAAATTGAAGCATTGTTTTATACTTTTCATTAAGTAAAGTCATTAGTTGTTACATATTTGACTTGAATTGTTATGAACCCCCAAGAATCAGAAATATCACAGGTTTTTCGTTCGACCACGTTAACATGAACAGCACTATTTTGACAAGATTTGTTTAGCAATGTCAGCATGTTGGTACGCAAAGTTTTTTCCCTATTCAAACTAGAAGATGAACATAATTCCCAATATTAATTCTTACATGGAAGGAACTAGATGTTTATGAGTTGGTATAGGCTGGTTTTGATGTGTCTCAGTGTTCAAAAACACCAAAAAAAAACTCAATAAAACGTTTCTTCGAATTTGGCCACTTATAAACAGGTAATTAATGACCAAATGTCTGCCATTTCGATCATACTTTGTAAATATACAAGTATCTAATCTGCGTGGACTGTTACCGGTATATCGTGAACAAATGGTTGTTTGTTTCTTAAAAAGTGACAAAGTGGGTGCTGAACAAGATGACATACCGTGCAATTAATTTATTCATGTCCCTTTGTTATGTTGAACAGCATCAACAGTACAATCGGTTCTCTAAACATAGGGCGGGCCTTCATGACAGCATATATTTACTTACGAGATATACATGCCTTAAAGTACAGATATGTTTGCATTTCTTTCTGCCTTTGTTATAATCAATTAGCTCCAAGTCAGCACTGTTTTTTTCCTCCCCATGAAAAACGGAATGTAGCGTTGACCATGACCTTTTGCAATGCCACAAGCTGCGATCACCAACTTACGGTTTACATCGTCCACATGTCCACTTTTTTTCGACATCGGGAAAAATGTCAGTCACGGACTTGCATTTTGAATTTGTATACTTATAGTACAGATGACTTCCCCAGCCATGACGGGTGTTTGTGTTTTCTGCCAAAATGACTTTCTTCTTTTTACAATAACGACACATCAATATATCACTGCCAATTTTATTTACAGACTGTAATTCTACTATGAACCAGCGTCTGTATCCAAGATTTCCATCTCGTCGTCGTTGTCTGAACTGTCGGTGTCACCTCATAATCACTCAGGACAATTTTTTTTGCGCCGCAAAACTTTAGTTGTAACTGTTAATAGGCTTGTCTTCAAACCACTCAGGTCACTGCCAATTAGATGTCTTTTAACAGTGTCAGTGTTTTTGGCGACTAGGTTTTTTCATTTTTAGAACTCCTTCCCATGATTATATTATGTTATTAAAACACAGAGACATGCTTAAAATTCCATAGCGTAATGTTTGTTTGTGCTTCGATCGCGTTCGCGTAACGAACACTATTTATAGATTACACAGGATATAATAAAGCTGGATGGTCAACAAATCAGTATGCAAATTAAATCCTTCGTCTTCAGTCTCGCCACTCAACATGATGTGTAAATACATGACATTTGGATGTAATAATGAAAGGAAATTGAACTGGTATGAAAGGGCAGTACATGTAGCCAGAACGCAAGGTCAGAATCCGGGGTCAAAATACGTCACAATACATCCATCAAGGTGGTTGCAAAGTGTCAACCACTAGGGATGAGGTAAAAGACTACGTTTGCAGTTTGCGTGAATGGCCGGGGAGAAAAATTTATGCAAATTCTGTGCTTCAGTAACAATATTTGCTTCTTTTTTTGTGCAATGGAAATTAATACAAGAAATGTTGCCAATAAACATGTCCTTCTAGTAGACAAAACAACCCTGGGACGTTTATCTTGGGAAATTTAGAAGACGAAAATCCCTTGGGACAGTCGTTGTGAAACAATAGACGTGCTTCGCCAGGGTATCAAGTTTATTTTGATTATTTGAAGATGGAAACTGCTACTTTATGGAAGAGCAAAGTTCAATGTCATTGGCACAGTAATGACGTTTTTAGAGGGGTGGACTCACTAGAAGTATTCGCCGTGACTCCAGACTTCTCATTTGGGTTTATTCAACACTTATCATATTACTATCAAGAAGGTTTAATGTCTTGTTTGTATTTGCACAATGTGAATGAGGGGTTTATTGTCAAAATATATACAGGTGCTTGTATGCCTATTGAAACTATACAAAATTTAACCAATGCACATCTGTTTTATGTGTTAACAGAACATTGCGATGTTCTCATGGAATTGTTAAATCTTGGTATCATTCCCAACTGTCACCAAACTGTACGTTTTGACGACTCATATGCACTTCTGGGACTTGTAATAATTTTCTGGAAACTGCATAGCAAATCACATATTTTCCTTATTAATTGTTCATAGTTTTTATTCTCAGTTTTTATTGTTCATAATTATTTTCTAGTAATAACATATTTTTTCGATTGTGTGCATGACAGCTTTGTCCACACACAATAAGACAGGATGATATGTACGGATATGTGTGAGTATGTTTCATGGATTAATAGGTCACTCCTTTGCTTCAATTCCAACTACATCTCTGGAAATATCACTTGCTGTTTATCATCCATATTTTGATATCTCACAATGTGTTGATTGCGTATCTGGAAATTCTAACTACTATTTTGCAGAATTTGACCAGCATTGCTTTTACCAGTCATTTAAGTCAATTCCCATATTGTCCTTCACAGTAAAGGTTAATGCAGATATATTGTAAATTACACAGAGGTAACATTACAATACATTTCCCTTCACATTCCCCTGTATTACATAAAATCTTTGAGCTGAGGCAGTTATGGTTCTACAACCATCACCAGTTTTCTTGTCTTATTTGGATTTAGTACAGAGTATTTTTGTTGTTACAAAATGAGCCAAATAAATACTAGTAAATAATTAATACATTCACAGTAATTCATTTATATTAAATGTTATTTCTACACTCACCCACAATCAGACTTTCTATGAATTGGATTCTGTCTTTACCATAAACCTTACTTTGCTGCATATGTGAGACATCAAATAATGATACGGTGTTCCTAGTATGTAGATGTTCTGCTAAGAGTCCCTCTTTGTATTGTACTGGCATACTAAAACCAGCAAATGGCACCATTTTACCACCATGTTCAAGATGAAAGTCATAAAGACAGGTTTTTGTTAAGTCTACATCTGCCTATGGAGGAATTAAGGAAAGACACAGAAAACTATAAAACATGTGGATAGTTGAAAAAACAGATTACTGATACTTTGCTAAGGAGAAGAATGATTTTGTGATTTCCCTTTGGCAAAAAAAACCCCTATGCTGGGGGCCATTTTGGATTAAACAATCCATGATTATCTACTAGTAGGTCCCATAATATCCAATGTATGTACCAAGTTTGAAAAAAAAATCCATCTATAAATGCGAAGATCCAGTTCTGGAATGCTAGAAGTGCTTGATTTTTTAGCACAAAAATGGCTGCCATTTGGCCATTTTGAATCAGATAGTCAAACCAATATATCTATGTCATGATGTATAATGAATATATAAAATTTGACAATCAGTCAAAGCATTGACACTAAATATGACACTAGAACTGCAACCATTAAAACAAAATGGTCGCCAGTCGAATCTGAAAAATAATATGACGTGCATCAAGGTCCAACGTATGTACCAAGTTTGAACAAAATCCATCCATAAATGCTTGATTTTGATGATTTTTTAGTACAAAAATGGCCACCATTCAGCCATCTTGAATCAGATCGTGAAACAAATTGATGTGCATATGTATAATATTATATATGATGTATGTGTTAAGTTTGATTGTGATTGGTCCGGGCATGTCTAAGATACAGGTCCGGACGCACGCACACACGCACGGACCCTCAAGGGTGTTCGAACGAGTCTAAAAATGATCACAATACTGTGAGACCAGTAAATATTTTAGTGTTACAGTAAATTTCATAAAAATATGAATGTTTATATACCCCATTATATTAAATATGTTTTTCCAATGTAGTTCCTCATTACCTTTCCTCAATACCCTTGGCTATAGTATTACCACTGATTTCTCATCATGGAAAAAAATTCCATTTCTCAAACCTCTCTAATGAATATTCTTTCTAGCCACTGGACAGAATTCATGCTCATATCAAAATTTCATTGAAGTTTAGACAGAGATTTCTCATTTTTAGTCTCAACATTTTTTCTCTCATAAACACAAGAAAATACCCACTAAAATATCGCAAAATTACGACACGCTGTAACTTATGGCATTACGGTGACAGATGTATAATAATAATATTTAATGTAAGAACTAAAATTATAATATACCCATTAAAATTATCAAAACTCTGAATGCATACATACAAGCCATGCATGGTACAGTCCCCGTTAGTTATCAAATTTAAGATATATAGTTTTGTTTATAGTAATATGATTATGATTTTTTTAACATTAATTGATTGACATCTTGTATGTGATCATCAAACGAGTACTTGTCCACATTGAGAGATATTGCTCTGAAACAGCATTAATTAAAACATTTATATATGTGTAACATAATGTATAATAAATATATAAAATTTGAACAATCAGTCAAAGCATGTCAGAGATATGGCTCTAGAAGCGCATGCATTAAAACAAAATGGCCGCCAGTCAGCCATTTTGTAAAATAAAATGACATGCAGCAGGAACCCATATAATGTCTAATGTATGTACAAGTTTGAACAATATTAATCAATAAATGCCACAAATCCTTAATTTTTGATGATTTTTTAGCACAAAAATGGCCGCCATTTGGCCATTTTGAATCAGATAGTCAAACCAATATACATGTACCTGTATATCTATATCATGACGTATAATGAATATATAAAATTTTAACATAATCAGTCAAAGCATGGCAGAGATGTGGCACTAGAACTGCATTCATTAAAATAAAATGGCTACCAGTCGGCCATTTCAAATCCAATCTGAAAAATAAAATGATGTGCATCAGAAACCCATAATATCTAATATATGTACCAAGTCTGAACAAAATCCCCTCAGAAATGGCATGAATGCTTGGTATTTGATGATTTGTTAGCACAAACTGGACACCATTTGGCCATTTTGAATCAGAAAGTGAAACAAATTGATGTGCATATGTATAATATTATGTATGATGCATGCGTGAAGTTTAAATGTAATTGGTCCATGAATATTTAAGATATAGATCTGGATCATGCATTCACGGACAAACAGAGGTCAGTCCAAAATTCCCCCATTTTGGACTGTGTCCAAATGGGGACTAATTATCCCCTGTAATATGAGATTTGGTAAAAATAAGCCTGAATTTTGAAATGCTGTAACATCAACAAAAGTATATCTAATTGGTGGTGGGGAACTGCAAAGCCAGTTATAAAATGTCTAGACAATTGTAAACAAATATTTTCACAAATGTCACTGATCGCAAAAGACATAACAAAATTATAAATATTTTTTGAATTTCAAATTTTAGTGTTAAGTACAAACTCTGCAAAAATCTCTGTAACTCAAAAAGCAAATAAATCAATGAAACATACATAATTGATTGATTCTATCTGCTATTGTTCCATTACATTTTAATCTTATATTTTGAAAAATATAGGTAATCCACCTGGAACTGACTCGTTGCTTTTGTTTTTATAAATGACAAATTTTCTTTTATTTATATTTACTATATGCCTGACACTAATTTTTGTATTCATATTTTCCCAAATTCTTTTATATAATTTGTCATGGAAATTTTACTTTTATACCACTGGCAATTCTGTGGACCCATCCTCAAGCATGAACACTCCACCCCATCCCACCCCCATCAAGCATATCCTATCCCAGTATTCAAATGCGGGAGACGCTTATACAAGATAGTGACATTGATATTTAATAAATGGGTCACAGATGCTACTAATGTAGCGATCACTATATGGTGGTAACAGGGCGTATCATCAAAACAAAGCACGAACCTAGTACAGAGAGAGATACGAATCACATCTACTTCAAAAAATATATCACTGGGCTGACGTTAACATGTGTTAACCAACTGGTGCCGGACTACTTGCTCGCAGATACGATGGTGGGAATAACATGCATTTGTTTAAATGCTACGTAAATAGTTGGTGATGGTCTGGGCTACAGGTAGTCTGTGAGTAAAACCGCAGCAGACAGCATATTCACTCGCTTCATATCCGGGCCTCGACCTGACGATGGGAGGTTTAGACAACTTATTTAAACGTGAACGAAACGACTTACCTCTGATGCAAATAGTCTTTGTGTAACCCACATGGGGTGCTGACTATTCCATTTAGTCCCACGGCTAATCAATCTTGGCAACAAACTAGAAAAACGAACTCCAGACATTTTTTTATTTCTCCAGCAAAAAACATCAGTCATAAACCAGCTTCCAAATTGTACTTCCGGTTGACACCAGAGGGCGGATTCGCCATATCAGCGAATGTTAAAGTTCGCTGAACTGCGCGTCAGATCACGTGACCCGGCTGGGCGTGATCTTTGAGCTTGTGTGCAGAAGCGGGGACCAGCCAAATGTTAAAGTTGACATGGATGGATATTTTTTCAATGAGTTATATTTATATTTTTAGAAAGTGGTTGCTAAGTCTACATGTCATAAAGACTTCATGCAGTGTTAATATTTATCAGGTAGTTTTCTAATTTGTTCAGCGGTCGCTGCTTTGCTTTGAATTCTTTGTTTATTTTTAGCATTATTCGGCCAGCTGTAGTCATTAATTCCATTTGCCATTGTATGATAAATAATTGTTTCAATTTATTATTAATTTGTTTTTTTACAAGTTATAAGGTAAACATATTTCAAAATTTGTGATGTCTTAAGAACAGTTTTATTTATTTGAAATTTAAAAACTTGAAGAAGTGTTTTGAATTTCGACAAGTCGGTTCAATTCTTTATTTATTCACTTAATACTAGTTTTATATGGACTTTCAAAAGCTTGACAGTCTGAAATAAAGATAAATAATAATATTTTTTTTTAATTTAGAGTGATAACTAGGCCGAAGTAGTTAAATTGCTTGACTGTACTCATCCCTTCAAAAAAAAAGTTTTGTTTAGTAGCATTTGAAAACAAGTAAGTGTAAGACCTCATCTTATTGGTCTGTGAGTTTATGTAGGTTTACTTGTTGCACTTGCGCATGCGTGCATAATAAAATATGGAAGAACTTGGCTGTTTTTTGTTGTTGTTTTTTTGTACTATTATATCCTCTTTTTATTTCCTCCACTGACACGAGTATCTTCTCGAAGTAACTAAAAATGAGTAGCTCAACATCATTATTCATAAGTCTGTTTGATTTGTTAAATATAATTTTTCAAGTTTTTTTTAGTATTTATTGACAGTTTCCATTTTGCTGAATAGTCTGCAAAGCGGGGAATTTCATAGATATGGATCATATTTTTATAAATAAAAAACTAAATTTGTTGGCTGCAATTGAGGTATAGAAATATAAACTGTTACAGGTTATACATATGTAGGCCTTATTATTACTTTTGTAAAACAATATATGTGAATTAGCATATGTACACTATACATACAATTATAAGTTGAAATCATGTTCCACTATTATACATAGTTACCCAAACTAGTCAGGAAATTCCGCTAAGATGTCGGCTCCACGGTGCGGAAGTCCGCAAACTATGGAGGCAGTAAGCTGGAACGTTATACATGTACCTTGAAAATGTTATGAAAATTGTTACCAGTTTCTATGGCAGCCGGCCATCCACATATAAAATGGTATCGAATGTTATCTCGACAAATCAGTAAATGAAGTTACTGGCAGTTGAGGGCGTCATCCAATATAGAGTCTTAATCTGGTAATATTAACTGCCTTTGTGCATTGGTTTTCATTGTAAAATATTCATTGTCAAAATATTGACGTCGGTTGGATGAGTATTGATAGCGATACTAGTATTGTAAACGATTTTCTAAAAAAAAAATACATTTAATCTAGTGAATCTAGTGAGTGTCATTGTGATAATATATTTCCAATATATTTCGAATTTATCTCCCATAACGCATTGCACATGATATACTCAGAGTACAGCATTTGAATACATGTTGTACTCAACACATTCACGTGGCAGGTGACGTCATTCGTCATATACTAGTATTACAATACAGACACTTACAGTGTAATTGCTATGATATCGGTAATACACACATATTTTGTTAAAACATAACAATATTTCACAAGTAAATCAGATATACGTGCGAAGCAGAATCAAGTTCGTACAAGAAAAAAACAAGTGTGTATCGAACACAAATGCTCTGAGTAATTATTTAATTTATAAAAATGGTATTAACATCATCGTTAATTTCAAAGTCATTATATTAAATGTTTGATGAATAAATACTATGAATAAATGTGACACCGTCCAGAATCACGTGACTGTGCCGAAAAGACCTTTGAATGAAATTGTCATCATATATAAATCTCAATAAATGTAACTGTATATCATATATCAATTGTTTAAAGCACACAGTCACGACTGATTCTGTTTAAATCCACGTATCTGACATAATGTTATCGGCCAGGAAAGCAGTATTTACGTATATAAAATTAGTATTCGCATATGAAGTTTCAGATTCTTGGTGTGGAGTCAGACAATTGTGTAACGTAGGTGGCGCTGTTTTATCATCTTGAATACTATCGTCACACTTGGTGCACCATCGGCAGTAATATAACTCTGCGAAGACAAACGTCGTAGATAATAGGAACGTACATCCAACTAAATAATATGGACCGTTATAGCTCCCTGTTTTGTCAAAGATCCACCCTGTAAATAGAAATTACAAATTACATTACACCATTTATACACTAGCATAGTACTTTATAGAAAAAAAACACCAAAAATACTACAGCAACAACAAAAGACTGTATGTAAGAATTCACCCTTTTTGTGGTCAGAGTCGTCCGTCATTTTTGTTATATATTTATTGTTGTGTTATTGAAAACAACCACACAACGAATGGCACTCATCCACCCCATGTAACAATGTGTTTTACCTGAAATGGGTGGGCCAATCAGACTGCCAATTCCAAGGGCTGGAAGGGAGAGTCCTAATGCGTCTGTCATCTTAGCATTGCCGACATATTCTTTTAAGACTACCGGTATAACTGTCATGTATACACCACTAGTCAGACCAAGAATGGCACAGTATATACCGTACTCAACGGCTCTCTTCATTAACACACTAAACAGTGACGCCACACCACACACAAACAACGAGGTGAAATAACACTGCGAGCCTGTTGTCCATTTTGCCTGTACCAACCACGCATGTCCAAATTGGCCAACAACGTTTGATATTCCGACGACTGAAGAGATGAGTGCCGCTTCCGTTGGCGCTAAACCGTAGCTGATACCTCGTGATGCAAGGTGTACTAGGGAAACGTTAAAACCAATACCGATAAGGAAAAGAGTGAAGGTAAATCCTGTGAATAATCGATTTTCACAAAATAGACCCCAGTCGAGGAAAGTTAACAATTTTTGGGACATAGATTGTCTTTTATTAACAGAACTTGAGAGTCGCCTTCGGGTTTGATCATTATTCTTCAATTCAGACAGCATAAGGTTCCCTGTGCTGCCCAACTTAGTGTCTGCTACGTTACCATAATGTTGACTTTCATCACCACTTGTCTTCGAGCCGCGACAATTGGAATTGTTTTTATTCAGTTCATTTTTCCAAGACACGATATTTCTGTGATTTGAAAGGACCGACCCTCGATGGCAGTGTGGTGAGTATGACGGGATATTGTAAGCAGAGACACCAACGTCGCACGTTTCACTATTCTCTATATATGTACAATGAGCCATAGAATTGGAGACGCTAAATAATCTGGGAGATTGTGGTGTCGTTGAGTCATCAGTTTGACGACCTGTCTCAATGATGTGACATGTTCGGGGTTGAAACAGGGCAGCACATACAAATAGATTTGCAGAAAGACCTGTAAGTACGACAAAAGTACCAGTCCATCCATAGATGTCGAGAAGATAGCGTAATACTGACGGAAAGATGAAGAATCCAGTGCTGGTACCGGTAAATGCGAGGGCGTTAGCCAGGGCAAAGCGACGATGGAAATACACCCCGAGAATACCGATACTTGGCGTAAACGCTAGGCCATAACCAATTCCTGTAACACAATATTATTGTTTTATTACTGTCCTGTCCTGTGCTCGTTACAAATACGTATACTTGTTTATTATACAGACTGTTAAGTGTAACAAATTCTCGGACACTTGAATTAATATTGCTATACAGCAGCAATAATTTCCAAAATGACGTCTTTTTGTCATGTTAACCTGTATGAATCACATCCCAATGTACAACTGACAATGGTTCAGCAATGCATGTTAATATATGCTGCTTTTCACATTCTATAAATATTCACAAATGACAGTAAATTGTATTTAAAATCAAAACACGAAAAACGTGCGATTGGCTAAAAAGTGATCCTTCCCCATTCAGCGATGCGTTTTGTGGAAATAATAATTTAATAAATAGAATATAGCTTTGTATATAGTTTTGCATGACATTTGTTTGGTTTAACATTTGTTATTTGACACTACTCAGATATTATCACAAAGTAAATACATAACGTATGACATCGTACCTGTTATAAAACCGTAACTGATACATAAATACGATACACTTGACGCAAATGAACTCATAATCATTCCAATACATGATAACATGGCACCAAGCGCCACCACTGAACGTGTTCCAAACTTGTTAGTCAATGCACTCGCCAATGGTCCTATAGTGAATAACAAGATTGCTCAGAACTACTATAATGTTACGTACATCGCTGTTAACAGTTTCTATTGTATTCGGTTAATGAAAATCCCATGCGGCACGCGCTTCAATGTACACATCTTTATGTAATATATATATATATATATCGTGGGTTTGTGCAAGTGAGTGAGAACCAGATCGAATTCGATAGTGTACCGTGTGTCTTGCTGTTATGAAGCAATACATCATATTAATTCATTTAAACAATATTGACAAAGCAAACAATCTGACTTTACTCAGATTTCGCATCTACCCATCAGAGTGAGTAATTACTATGGCTTGATCCTACAAGAAGAATATACTACAATAACGAGTTATTAAAATATCTCCCTCTGATTGGAAATCTCTGAATATATACTGTACCTGTTATGTTGACCATACAAATTGCCAAGGAAAGTACCCATGACGTATCTGACACATTGGAATCGAAGACTTCTGATAAAATTGACAATACCGGTCCCATACTTGGAGGTAGTCCGGCACATATCATTATTGCAATATTACTGCCGATCACAACAAACCATCCCCATCCACCATCTGCAGAGATATTCCATGAAGGTTGGATTTCTGACTTCCTTCGTTGCAGATCCATATTTTTTAAAAATAAAAATAATAACAGCCAAGAATTGTTTTTACGTCGAGGAAATACATTTGAATATATCACGCAAGCATACACAACGATTGAAGGTCGGACACAGGATTTCCGTTAATACAATGTTGGTCGGATACAGTCAACGGGCGACAGACCAGTGTAATACGTAAGGTGTGGTGGCATCAGAATGCCATTGTATTACTGTGAAAGTGACAGCGGGCATCGCATGTAATATATCAGTGAAGTGGTCACATGAAAAGATTTCTAACGTTCCTGTGGTGGGATGATAATAAGGCACGTCATAGCGTTAATCACCGTATAATAGGTGGGTTAGTTCCATTCAAATAGGCGGATCCCCTGTTGACCCAGCTTCAGGTAGGCGTGTTACGGCATACGTGTATTGTTGACACGTGTTTTTTTTGAATCGGGAGATGACAATATGTCTCAATTGTCAAGTAGCAGACCTCCTGGAAATGTATTGTAATACTTATATGAATAGAGTTAACTTTGACAACTGCTTTGTATCACATAATCAGTGTTATTATCCCCTTTCTTATCTACAAAAGAGTGAATCTTGAGTGACACCGTACAACCAGACCTACTGTGCAGCGTTAAGCAAAACATCGTTTAGAAACTTCTTGTAAACAAATTCTTGGCATAACGAAACTTAAAATAGTAAAATAGTAAACCTCTGTCCACATATGCGGTTATGTCAAACACTTTTTTGTTTTGAAAATTTACATGATCAACGTTCAATTTCTACATTACCATAACTTTACTCCAAAGGTCCTTATTTCGATAGCAATATTGCCACTACTACTAGTTCTATTGTAAATTCTTTTTTATTCTCAGCTGGTGTCCGATATTGATGTTGAATTATTTGTTGTCACGATACGAGTATGAATTGAGTCAGATACAGGTCACGGACGGTTAATTAGAAGTCGAACCTATCAATAAATCAATCAATAAAACACACTAGCGATTTATGAATTCAATTAATATTTGACAATTCGTTATAATTATATATGATTATAGTAGTAGTTTGTAAATAGATTGTGATTTGAAGATAAAAAACACTTAATATTTTACATAGGCACTGTGTACACTCACTCTGACGCATGTTGGCGCACGCGGCTCTTTTTAAAAATGAATATTATTTATCTATTTTTTATTTACGAAAGGCAATGTCTTAATAATTGCAATGAGGTTTTATGATAGATAGAGTTGAAAAAATTCCGCGTTGCTGATAGAAAGAAATATCTCATGATACTTGTACGCAGATGCTATTATAGTACTGTGTGATGCCGACCAGTAGAGCTGTCAAATGATGTACCAGCATATTTGTTATAATACATCTATAACATGAAGAATAATGGAGTGCTGGGTCGCCGTCCTACTGTGTCATACCGTGGTTCGAGATTATGTCCAAAGTTTTTTTTATTATATTACAGTTGTTGAATACAACACAAATTACTAACATTCTGAATAAGTTATTTGTATACCACCGAAATCCCTAAACATAGCACTCGCTTGAGTTATGTAAAAGTTATTGATGCTGGAAAATAGGAATGTTAAGAATGCATTATAAAAAAGGCCGTTTTTTTTACTAATAATATAAATAAAATTATGTTGGTTGCTATTTCAAATAGTTGATATGATCATGATAATGTTTTTTAAGGTAGCGAGACTATTATTTGCATACTTTTTTTCATCTTCTAATTGTGACTAAATGACTACAAATAGACCCGGGAAAGTATATATTTTTAGAATCGCCAGATTTCAAGCTTTTCACAAGTGTATTTTGCATGCCCGTATCTGCATTCTACGACGCGTTACTCAATCAAAGGTGAAAAATTACTTTTTCTGTAAAAAAAATAATTACGCATTTACGCTGGCGATAAGAAGTATTTTTTTCACTTTTCCTAGTTGTTCAATAGTCTGGTAAATTGAATGTGTCTGGTCAGTTTTATTCAAGCAACGCGTTTTAAAAAATAGTGTGCTGAATTTCAATTACTGTTTTAGTCACATTGCCCCCAACTCAAACCACAACTCGTTGGTAAA